GGAAAGAGAAGGACTGGGTACTGGCAGCCAGGAGGCAGGCTTGCAGAATATGCCCTTTGGTTTAAATTATTATATATGCCTGAGTGGTTTTGTGTATACTCCCCCCACCTGCCGCTGCAAAAAAATACCCACAAAAAAACAGAGGAAATGGAAGCAAATACTGTTAAATGATGATGCAAGGAGTAGATTGTAATCATTGCGATGAAACCATGGTGTAAAGCTGCTGTTTTCTCATGTAAATATCACTCAGTTCACATTAAAACTAAAAAACAAAACAAAACATGAGAGTGCTCCTTGGAAGCCAGGATGGCCAGACTTCGTCTCTCATACTTCGGACATATTATCAGGAAGGACCCGTCTCTGGAGAAGGACAGCATGTTTGGTCAAGTGGAGGGTTCAAGAAAAAGCGGATAGATAGATTGGCACAGTGGCAGCAGCGGTGAGTTCAAAGGTAGCAATGATTGTAAGGTTGGCACAGAACTGGGCAGTGTTTCTGTTGTGCATAGGGTCACTCTGAGTTGGTACCGGCTTGATGGCATAATAACAACATATAATATGGTGTGGCGCTGTAGGTTAATGCGATGGACTACAAGGTCACTTTGAACCACAATATTGGTGGTTCAAGCTCACCAGCCGCTCCTGGGAAATCCTTTACAGGGTCACTATGAGTCGGCACCAACTCCACAGCACTTAACAACAACAATAGCAATATTGTTAAGTGCCAGTGAGTCAATTCCGACTCATAGTGACCCTGAATAGGGTTTCCAAAAAGCATTTGGTGAGCTTGAACTGCCATTCTCGTGGTTCACAGTCCAGTGTTGATCCCATAGTGTTACACAGAAGTACATATATACATATGCATACATGTGTGTATATATATATATCAATGGACAGATATATGGTGGGGGAATGGATGAGAGTTGAGTAGGTGAACAGATATATATGGTAAATGGATATGTAGATGGATGGATGGATGGATCAATGGTGGATGAATAGATATGATATGATGGGTGTGGATGGATGAGTTCTTGGTAGGTGCTGTTGAGTGCTCTACAGAACAGTCCTGTGCCAACTTCACAGTTGTGGTGATGTCACAGAGATCTTCCTCTTTTTCATGAACGCTTCACTTTTCCAAGCAGAATGCCCTGCTCAGGGACTGGTCCCTTCTCACCACATGTCCAAAATATGAGAGACAAAGTCTCGCCATCCTAGCTTCTAAGGAGCATTCTGGTTCTATTTCTTACAAGACAGATCTGTTTGCTCTTCTGGTAGTTTATGTACTTTAAATATATTTCTCCAGCACCATAATTCAAATGCATCAATTCTTCCACACTCTTCCTTGTTCCTTGTCCAACATTCACATGCTTTTGAAATACCAAACTGACAGTTTTCCTCTTCAACACTTTAAAAAGGTCTTGTGCAGCAGATTTGCCTAATGCAATACGTCGTTTGATTTCTTGACTGCTGCTTCCATGAGTGTTGATGGTGGATCCAATGTAAAATGAAGTCTTTGACAACTTCAATCTTTTCTCCATGTTTCATGTTCTTTATTGGTCCAGTTGTGAGGGCTTTGTTTCCTTTACACTGAAGTGCAATCGATACTGAAGGCAATGGTCTTTAATCTTTATCAAGGCTGTATCACATACATGCTTATCATGGGTTGTTAGTCTTTCTTCAATCCTGATGCCACATTCTCCTTCATATAACCCAGCTTCTCTGATTATTTGCTCAGCAAACAAACATATTGCATAAATATGGTGAAAGAATACATCACTGGTGCACAACCTTTCCTGCTTTTAAACCATTCAGGATCCCCTTGTTCTGTTTGAATAACTGCCTCTTGGTCTATGTGCAGGTTCCTCATGAGCACAATCAAGTGCTCTGGAATACCCATTCTTTGCAATGTTACCCATAGCTTGTCATGATCCACACAAAAGAAAGCCTTTGCATAGTCACTAAAGCACAAGTAAACATCTTTCTGGTATTCTCTGTCTTCAGCCAAGATCCATCTGACGTCAGCAATGATATCCCTCATTTCACATCCTCTTCTAAATCTGGTTTGAGTTTCTGGCAGTCCCTGTCAATGTACTTGTTGCAGCTGTTTTTGAATTATCTTCAGCAAAATCTTACTTGCATATGATATTGTTCGATGATATTCACATTTTGTTGGATTGCCTCTCTTTGGAACGGGCACACATATGGGTCTCTTCCAATTGGTTGGCTAGGTAGTTTTCTTCCAAATTTCTTGGCATCGATGAGTGAGTGCCTCCAGTGCTACATCAGTTTGTTGAAAGATTTCAATCTGTATTCCATCAATTCCTGGAGCCTGGTTTTCCGCCAATACCTTTAGGGCATCTTTGACTTCTTCCTTCTGTACCATTCGTTCTTGTTCGTTTTCTACGTCTTCAAATGGTTGAACATCCATCATTTATTTTTGGTACAATGACTGTGTATATCTCCCACTTTCTTTTGATGCTTTCTGCATCATTCAGTATTTTGCCCATGCTGTTGTTGTTATTAAGTGCTGTTGAGTTGGTTCTGACTCATAGCGACCCTGTGTAGGGTTTCTGAGGAGCAGCTGGTGGGTTTTAGCTGCCAATCTTGTGGTTTGCAGTCCAATTCAGATCCTACAGAATCCTTCAATATTGCAAGTCGAGACTTGAATTTTTTTCTCAGTTATTTCAGCTTGATAAATGCTTTACTTTTCTAACTCCAGATCTTGGCACATTTCCGTATAATACTTGAAAGTCTTCTTGAGCTGCCCTTTAAAAATTTTCTTTTCAGCTCTTTTACTTCATTTCTTCTTTTCACTTAAGTGTCTTTATGCACAAGAGCAAGTTTCAGAGTCTCTTCTGACATCCATTTTGGTCTTTTCTTTCTTTCCTGTCGTTTAAATGACCTTTTGCTTTCTTTAGGATGGTCTTGATGTTATCCACAACTCTTCGGGTCTTCGATCATTAAGCTCTAATGCATCAACTGTGTTCTAGAGATGATCTCTAAATTCAGGTGGGATACGTTTAAGGTCATATTTTGGTTCTTGTGGACTTGTTTTAATTTTCTTCCACATCAACTGCATATGTGCAGTTGATGGTCTGTTCCACAATCTGCCCCTGGCCTTGTTTTCGTGTTTTTGCTGATGATATGGAGCTTTTCCACAATCTTTTCCCAGAGATGTAGTCAATTTGATTTTTGTGTATTCTATTTGATGAGGTGCATGTGTGTAGTCGTCTTCTATGTTATTTTAAAATGGTATTTGTAAGAAGTCATTGGGCTTGCAAAATTCTATCATGTGATCTCTAGCATCTTTTCTATCACCAAGGCCATAATTTACAATTACTTATCCTCCCTCTTTGTTTCCAACCTTTGCATTCCAATCACCAATAATTATCAGTACATCTTGATGGTATGTTTGATCAATTTTAGACTGTAGAAGTTGGGAGAATTCTTCAATTTCATCTTTACTGGCTTTAGTGGTTGGTTCATAAAGTGGAATTAACTGTACTTCCTTGTAGGTGTATGGATATTATCCTATCATAGACAGCGTTGTACTTCCTGACTGATCTTGATATAGTCCTTTTGATGATGAAAGTGACACTATTCCTCTTGATTTTGTCATTCCTGGCATAGTAAACTATATGACTGTCAGATTCAAAATGGCCATTGCAGGTCCATCTCAGCTCACTAAGGCTTAGCACACCGATCTTTATGCATTTCATTTCATTTTTGACAACTTCAAATTTTCCTAGGATCATAGTTTGGTCCTTCCATGTTCCGATTATTAATGGACGTTTACAGCTGTTTTTCTTCATTTTGAGTTGGCCCCATCAGCTAATGAAGCTTTACTCCATTCACATCATCACGGTCAAGTCTACTTTGAGGAGGCAGCTCTTCCCCAGTCGTATTTTGAGTGATTTCCAACCTGAGCGGCTCATCTTCCAGCACTCTATCTGACAGTGTTCCACTGCTATTCATAAGGTTTTCAGTGACTGAACGTTCAGAAGTACTTTGCCTCTCTTTCTTCCTAAGGCATCACAGTTTGGAAGCTCCACTGAAACTTGTCAAGCATGGGGGACGGCTGGTATTTAAAATAGCTTTCAGTATCAGAGCAACATGCAAGGCCTTCACAGTGAGACAAACTGAAAGACAATGGTGGCTGAATTAGATGGAGAGATAGAAGATTGTGTGTGTAGAAGGGCCAATGGATGAGTGGGTGAATGGAAGGGCAAGTAGACATGGTGGATGAGTGGATGATGGATGGTTGAAAGATAATGAATGAATATGTGAATGGGTAAATGGATGGATGGATGAGTAATGAAAAAATGGGATATGATGGGTGTGGATTGGTAGATGACTGGATGTATGGATGAGTTGATGGACAGATATATATGGTGTATGTTGGAATGGATGGTTGGGTGGTTCAGTAGATGGATTGCAAAAAGTGGGTGGGAGACTCATGATCCCTTGAACCATCTGAATGGGTGAACTACAGGACGGTCGGGTGGGTGAATCAATGGACCAATGGCTGAATTAATGGAGAGACAGATGACTGAACCCGACGAAGGCAATCTGGTTGTTACCTCTCCACAGCTGCCCATTGTGGCCTCATCCATAGTGTCCCTGTACTTCCTGGAGCTGACCGACCTCTTCAAACCGGCCAAGGTGGGCTTTCAGTGTTATGACCGCACGCTGTCCATGCCCTACGTGGAGACCAACGAGGAGCTCATCCCGTTGCTCATGCTCCTGAGCTTGGCATTTGCTGCCCCCGCTGCCTCGGTGAGTAGCGGGAGCAGGGGTGACCAGCCTGTGGGCACCCTGGGAGCCTGCTGAGCGTGTCCCTGTCGGCAGATCATGGTTGGCGAGGGTGTGCTGTACTGCCTGCAGTCTCGGCTATGGGGCCGCGGTGGGGGCCCTGGCAGTGCTGAGGGCAGCATCAACGCCGGCGGCTGCAACTTCAACTCCTTCTTGCGGCGTACAGTGCGCTTCGTGGGTGAGTCCCAGAGTCCCAGAGCGCCGGTACGGTGTGTGTGTGTGTGTGTGTGTGTGTGTGTGTGTGAGGAGTGGCTAGCCCAGCCCTGACTCTCCCCATCCGCAGGTGTCCACGTGTTTGGCCTGTGCGCCACGGCCCTGGTTACTGATGTCATCCAGTTGGCCACAGGCTACCACGCGCCCTTCTTCCTGACCGTCTGTAAACCCAACTACACGCTGCTGGGCACCTCGTGTGAGGCCAATCCCTACATCACACAGGATATCTGCTCTGGTGCCGATGTGCATGCCATCCTCTCCGCCAGGTGAGCGCCCGCCCCTCCCACAGTCGGGTGTGCGAAGCAAGGTCCTACTCAGGTCACCGAGGGCGTGGGGGCAGGTCTGGGTCTCACGCCCCCCCCTTTCTCAGTCGGCCGGGGCTCACCTCTTGCAGGAAGACCTTTCCGTCTCAGCACGCCACGCTGTCCGCCTTTGCAGCAGTCTACGTATCGGTGAGTTCGCGGCATAAACCCGCCCTCTTCACAAGCCCGCCCCCTCTTCAGACCCCGCCCCCTCGTCAGATCCCACTCCTTTCGCAGGCTTGCCTCCCCCTCAGG